GATCACCGCTAGAATGACGGCGGGATTCCATCGCGAATTTCTACAGTAGCGGCGTATTACGGTAGGTACCTTCCCAGTAGCCGCGGAATATGGCTAAGTAGGATAGTTCTAAAGCGATTGAGTATGTTAGTGATGTTGAGTGTCTTGGTGTGTCTTCATTTTCCATGACCGCTTCCAATATTGGGTCGTGAAGGCATACGCGTCAGACAGTTCTTCCAACGTTCCTGATCCTGAGTCATAGTCTGAGCTTCGGCAGAAGACAACTGCAGTCTGGAACAGACCCCTTCCATAATTTGCCCCAGGTTAATCTTCGCCATCCCCTGATCTTTCTGCCGCTCTGTTTGACAAGAAGTAGTTTCCTCGCCTTCCTTTCTTGAGGTATTCGCAGCACGTGACCAAACCATCGCTGCTGTGACTTCTCAATCTGGAGAAGCAAAGGCTGTACACCAAGGCTCTTCCGAATGTCAGTATTCCGATTATGTCGAGATGCGTAAGGCTGGCGACTCGTCTCAATTCATGTCAGCCGCGTGTACCGGTGATCGTTCGGGCTACTTAACAAAGAACGAGATTGGCTTACTCCGATCCGAAGGTCGATCTCCTTGTCAAATTTTCAATCACCAGTAAACACGACCCCGTGGTACTTCAACTTTTCCATCTGCTCCACTTCCGTTCAGATTATCTGAAAAGAGCAATGGACAGGAGAACGAGAAAGCACTTGGCTTTTAAAGTACTAGCCAATCAAACAAGGTCGTCTTCAAACAGCAACTTTCTCCGCTCCACATCTTCTACACCGATAAACTAACCCTTCGGCTGCGCCAGACCGTTCTCTCCATGTACAACTTAAACAAGTGAGATGAAGCACGCAGTCTTAGCGGAGGCCTGTACCAACGTTAAAAGGCAACTACTTAATGCCATTTTCTCTGACGCAGCATATAGTGATTAGATAGCCCGCAACAACAGATCATCGATTTCGTATGTTCGGGTGTATGCCCACAGATTGTTGGGCGACTTCCTCTCATAAATTTTCCCTAGGTCAACCAAAGCACATTTGCGCCGGATGGGCGAACTCACACAATTTCTTAACAATCTGGCGTGAATCAGATGTTATTCGGCCGGTCCGGAAGCTACATTGCATTTTTTATGTCTTGGAGTCAGTTATTCCGCGGCACCTCCTTTCTAGCACCTTTGCGTAGACTCTACCTGGGAGGCCCAATAATTTAATGCCCCGATAATTTGAGCACTATCTGTCCTTTCCCTTCCTGACGAGGCGTACTATAAACCATGTTTTTCAGTCCGCTGGTGTCTTTCCCATAGCACTTACAGCTTCGCTTCACGAATGTATGTGGAAGCCAGCACTTGCGTTGTTCGCCTATTGCTTTGAGTATTTTATGGCGGATTTCATTTATTTCAGCAGTCCTTC